TAGGATCTCGAATCTTCCATTAGGATTGGACAAAAAACCAAATCGATTGCGTGTTTTTTATAAAAAAAAATCAAATTTTAGTTAAATTTTTTGTTTGTTTCACTGCACAATCTATTTAATTAAACGTGTTGTGTGTTTCATTGCAAAATTCAAATTTTATTTTAATTTAATTTTAACAACAAAATACAAAATAAATTTGAAATTCTTAAATGATGAAAATAGCTTAAAATTCTACAAAAAATATGTTAAATTAAATATAAATATTGTGTAGTTGATAATCATTTTTTCGTGGTATCGACAACCAGGACTCGTTTGTCTATTTTATTAATTTTACGTGACACGTACGCTTGCAGTACATTTTTTTAACGAACAACAAGTTGAAGTTATTTTTATAAATTTAATGGTCAAAATTTGACCACCTCAAAGTTCAGTGAGCAGTCGAAAATGTTTTCAAAGTTTAGTGAGCAATAAAAGACACTTTAAATTTTTAGTAGCCAAAATTCGATCAATTTAAAGTTAAGTGAGCAATCAAAAACGTTTTTCAAAATTTAATGACCAATCGAAAACGTTTTCCAAAATTTCGTAAGCAATGAAAATGCTTTCTTACCTTACAATCTATTAACAGCGTGATATGAAGTCACATGCATTACGTTAACCACGTCACTAATTTCATTGAACGTTTAAAACGGATGTTATGTTAATGAGTAATGTCCAACATTAGATAAATTTAGTGATTGGAACTCCACATAGTGAGCAGTGGAACACATAACCCAAGTTGACCATTGGGACTCATGAAATCCCCAATTCTACCAAAATAGAAAACCTAGATTTTAACCCATTGAGGACGTATACGCAGCGAGATTTACAGCAGAATTGGGACGAAAAAAAAAGCAATCAAATTCTCCAAACTGAATATGTTCTGTGATGTAATCGTTGCCCACGAACCGAAATTCCAAAAAAGTCCCTTGGTCTGTGAATTTGATACGTTTGCTGACTGCAGTGCCGACCCAGAAAATTGCGGCCGTGGTCCCAAACCTTTCATTTTGTTGCAGATTACACCCAAACCTTTTATTTTTGCGGCCGAAGTCCCAAACCTTTATATGTAGTTGCAGCGTCGGTCCCAAGCCTTTAATTCTGTCCATAAAACCATCAGTCAACGTTTCAACAGTAATTTTGACTCGAAAAAATTGCAACGCTGATCCCAAACCTTTATATAATTACAGCGTTGGTCCATTTCACGCATTCCGTCCATAAAATCGTCAGTCAACATTTATCCAAAAAAAAATGTTTGTTTTCTTCAAATCCTTCAATCTTTTCACAGACGTCACATTCTTATCATCGATAACTATCTGATCAGACAACAATTCGATCCAATTTGTTATAATAATCGAATCGATAAATTATTTTTATGATATGTTATTTGTCACTAAAATAAATAAATGAGAAAATAAAAATAAATAAACTACATTTGGTACTATAATTTGTATGTATTATTAAATAA